AGGAATATGCTTTTTTTAAAACAAATCACCATGAGATAGTTTACAAAGCTTTCATCATTGAGCTTCAGTCATACAATGATCAAACACCCATCCCACCAGAGAAGGATAATTTTTCTAATTAAATCCATTTATTATGTTTTCATCCTTAGATAGTTTCTCAAGATTCTGCTTTTGAAAAATAATAATCACAATAGTAATAATAAAAATTAGAACTGATCTATTTGATGCATGTGAAAGCTGATCCTGAGATGACAGTTTGGTATTTTCAACGTTTTGTTTTCAGAGAGGACTGGAATAATGCAGGGTGAAAGAAATCGTGCAGTTCAGGGCAAGTGAAGGCCTTGGTTGTTTTTAGGACAGGGGTTATGTGCATTAGATACCACAAGCAAGAATGCAGCTTTATCCCCCAAAGCTTGAAAATGAAAGCAATCTGGGATGCTCCCAGTTTCATGCAGAGCTTTCTAAACAAGGGCTGTCGCCATGGGAAACAGACCCTAAAGCTCTTTTATTAGTTTTTCCTTGTGGGACTTTGTCACGCAGAGCATGTGCCACAGTCCAGCGGCGGCGGCTTCACCTGGGAGCTTGTTAGGAATGCAGACACTCCAGTCCCTTCGGAATCAGAATCCATGTCTTAACAAGAGCCTGAGGGGCATCTGATGCATGCAAATTTGGAAGTAATATTCTAAAAAGCCCAGACCATTTGGATGAAATTAGCTAGCCAGACGGTAACCCTGACAATTGATCAACTATGCATTCAGTCGCTCAGCAAGTGTTTATTAAGCCACGTCTACATATCGACATGGGCTGGACACACAACACTGAACAAAGATATAGATTGTCCCTGCACACAAAGAATTTATAGGCTGGTGGGCAGAAAAGACTGAGATCAAACAATCTTTCAAATGAAATGTGTTTCAAACTGAGATAAGCACAATGAACAAAAAAGAACAAATGAGATGAAAACAAAACCCGTCATGGGCTAGAGAGATTAAAAAGGGCTGAAGGTTTATGCCTCACATCCAGGCAACCCTATTTTGATCCTGGCACCACAAAGACTTTCAAGTGATCCTTAGTTAAGTCCTTCCCCAACCGCAGCCAAGGTTTCTGGGAATAGTCCCTGAGCACTAAATCCTCAGACCCTCAAACTGAGCCATCTCCCTCTGCAATGATCAGGAACACAAATGAAGGAAAATCAACATCTCATTTTTTTTTTTTTTGCTTTTTGGGTCACACCCAGCGATGCTCAGGGGTTACTCTTGGCTCATGCACTCAGGAATTACTCCTGGTGGTGCTCGGGGGACCATATGGGATGCTGGGAATCGAACCTGGATAAGCCATGTTGGCTGCATGTAAGGCAAACGCCCTACCTGCTGTGCTATTGCTCCAGCCCCAACATCTCATTTTAATACAAGATACTAGCTGGGGTTAAAAGATGAGGGATATGGAGGGGCTCTAAACTATAGGGGGTTAAAATTATTTTTAAATTATCAGTTAAAATTGTAATAGTGTACATCCATTTTCCTACTTTAAGTGTTCAATTCTTGTCCAGAGCGATCATTTCCAACTATCGTCATAATGGTTCCAGTCATGAACAACTTTGTAACAGTCTATCTCATAGTGGTTCAAACAAAATTCTTTAAACAAAAATAGAAATGGTTGCTTTACGAGCTTCATCAACCTGATTTATTACACTAGATTGATAAAGGAAGAGATTAGAAAGGAGAACATTCTAGGCAAAAGAAATAATAAGTATGTGATCTTTGTGGTCAGATAGAACTCTGCATGCTTCAATAATTGAAAGCAAGTCCACAGACCTGCAGGCAAGAAGTGAGGAAAGGACAGAATGAGATGAGCTGAGAAAAGGGGGAGACTGTGATGGTACTGGATCTACACTGAAGGAAAACTTTGATTTTTTCATCTAGGGAACAGGAAGTAAATCAAACAGTCTACCAGATGACATGACTACGTTTGCCTTAGGGGAAGAATGCTCTGGCTATTGCATGGTAAAAACTGGACCTTGGAATCTAAGATAACATTATCAAAAAACCTGCTGAGAAAGTGGAAAAGGTACTTTATGACATTATGCTCACTCTGTGTGAGCCCTGGCCCTGGGAGTATTACATAGGGCACTCTGCCCTTCCTTACAAAGGAAGCTTGGGTGCATGGCAGGTTCAGATTCTGCCAATCAATGTAATCATTTCCTCATAGAGGAGGCAAAAGCCCCATCACTGATCTCAGGATGTGTGTCTAGTTAGCAGGTATATGTGGTTTCTGGAAATTTGTGAGTGCAGGGGTAACCTGCTTATGTCAGATGAAAGCAAGAAATCTGTATCATCAACTTCTACACCCAGAAGTGACAGGGTAACTGTGCAGAGTGGACAGTCCATTATCCTTCTCTTCATTATATTCCTTTAATCTAGATATTTTCTTTCCCTCTCCTCAATTTTCTTCTAGACATCTTACTTTTTATATTTTTCTTTGATCTCTTTAATTTTTCTGCAATGCCCTCTCTTTGACCTAGTGGTGCTTTCTCAATTGTTGAGTGCTTCTGGATTCTTTAGAACTAGACAAGGGGAAGGGACGATGTCATTCTTGCTTAAATATATTAAATTTTCTGTGCTTTAGTTTCTTCATCTGTGAAATGGAAGTGACAATTTAAAAGTTTGGTAAAGATTAATTGTGATAAAGAATTGAAAGTGTTTACCATAGATTTTTTTTTGCGGTGGGGAGTATGGGGTGTATTCATAAAATGAATACAAAGCCCATGGCTCTCTCTTGCCACCTGGGTTCAGTGATCTTGAGCAGCTTCCCCACCCGGGACTGCCAATGCCAAGGGCAGACAAAGGAGAAAACGAGGGCCAGGCTGGTTGGTATCAATTGCAGTTTATTCCAATCTAGTCTTCATTTTCATCTGACTCTCCTTCCCCAATCTCTTTCTTCTCTTGGATTCCTTTTGATCCTCCCTGATCCCCCAATTCCTCTCTCCTAGACCCTGCTCCTACATTTTTCTCCTCTACATTCTTCTCCTCTACACTCTTCTCTCCTACATTCTTCTCCTCTGGTCCCCATTGCTAGTTTTTCCATACCCCAACTTGACATCCTATTCTCTCTAGTCTCACACCCTCCAAAACCTTGGCCAAAGCAAAGTCCTGTAGCACAATCAACATATCAATACCCTTCCTTATCTCCTGCAGCCAGGATATCTGCTCAATTTCAAAATACCACCAATGGCGCCCTTTTCTTTTCCTTAGTCCAACAGTCATTTAAACATTCATCTTAATTTTACTTCTTAAAAATATTAGTCATTTTGTGTGGACACAGTAAGAGATACATTAAGCTTATAGGACAGCTCTCCTGGGGCATCTCGCTATCGATCTGACTACAGTGTTCAGGCCAGATTACTCTTTCCTAACCACAGCAGGGTCCTAATCCAGTTGTTACTTTTTATATTATGACAGAATTTATCCATGACCATGATCTTAACTTATAGTTAAGTATTATGGCGCTTTTCCTGGCCCATTTTGATGCCAGGGTAGCTCATAGCTTGCCCTGGGTCCATCCAGTCCCTTGTCAGGACACTGCTTTTGGGGTGCCAGGACCTAAGGACAACTACTAAGAGAATAGATACCCAGGAGTGAATATTATTCAGAGTCAATTAACTTCCCAAGTTACAAAAGAATAGCATTAACAGTCTTCCTATGTCTGTACAAAAAGGACATTGCTCTGAATTAACTATGTAAAGGACATGAGGAGAAGAGGAAAGTAATTTTTACAAGTTAACAGAGTCTGATTCACAGATAAAGGTGATTGACTGGTTGGTGAAGCAGAACACAAAGAAAGAGGTTACAGATAAACACAGAATGGGAATGACTCAGGAGCAATGTGTTGAGTGTAACCCAATAAATATAAGCTCACTGTGGCAAGGCAGAAAGGACAAACCAATATTATTCTACAGGTAAAGATTAATTTTGATAAACAACTGAAAATGTTTAGCGCATATATATATATATATATATATATATATATATATATATATATCACAGTGGGTAGGGCATTTGCCTTGCATGCAAGACAAGTACCCTAGCCACATACTACGGCTTAAGCCCTCCTTATTATAATTTCTGTTCCAAGGGCAAAGAGTCAATTCCTTCAGGAATTATAATTAAGAACTCTCTTGACTTACAGTTGAAGAAACTGAGGCATGAATGATTTAAACATATTTTCCAAATAAAAGGTAAAGGCCCTCCCGTTGATCGTCGATTTGCTTGAGCGGGCCCAGTAACGTCTCCATTGGAGACTTTGTTGTTACTGTGTCTGGCATATCGAATACTCTCGGTAGCTTGCCGGGCTCTCCGAGAGGGGCGGAGGAATCGAACTCACGTCGGCCATGTTGGCGAACGCCCTACCCGCTGTGCTATCGCTCCAGCCCTATTTTCCAAATATACACTATAAATGATAGGAATTTTAAGTCATTCAGACATGGATTCTACATTTTTGGTTTGCAACTTGTTTTCCTACTAAAGCTACGATATCTACATGAAGCATAGTTATTGATATAACTATTGATACAACTAATGGTAGTTAAGAAATTCTATGAGACAAAAGATTGCCCTCTCCTGATGCCTATAATGAGGTAGAAATGGAAAGATCCCCCTTCAAAATTCTTTATGAATCTTCAAAATTGAGGCATTACTTTATAAGGCAAAGAAAATGTAAAACAAACCTAAAGAAAAATAGCAAAAATAACAGAGTAAATACACTATATGTTAGGAATAAGGATTTTTGAAGTTTTTTTCATTATCAGGAAAGAAAACGTACCTGCTTAGATGTGAACACTGTTAAAAGTTATTAAGACAATTCTAGCTGACTAAAAAGGATAAGAAAAGTCCTCAGGTTCAAATGACTTGAATACTTACACTTTGCTTTCCTAAACAGATTTGGTTCATGATAGACTCAAAAAACAAATACTATGAGCATTGTGGGAATGTTGATATACTTACGACCATCCACTGTCCTGGCCTCAAGATGCACGAGATCTGTATCCTTGTTGGTTCCCATCACAGACCTAATAAGTGAAGAAACACCAACATTAATGATTTAGAAATTCTGTTGAGCCGACAACAAATGCCTACCGGATTCTAAAACCATGAAATTTGCAATATATTTATCCTATTTATTTATGTAGCCTGACAGAAAAATTTCCACTTCAAATAAGAATGATGATGAAAACTTTATTTGATGAGGGACAGACTTAAGTTCGGTAAAGATATTATGTATTATTAGTTCAGACTTGCAAATAAGTCCTATATATGGCATATGGGTCCTCCTGCAACCATCTTCCTGACAGTATATTAAACTTTCAAGACTTATCAGGCAGATGCCAGGCAGGCTGCTTTTGCTGGATGACTGGAGTGCTGATTTACATAGCAAACTGATCTAATTAAGTTTTCATTTGAAAGTTACAGACTACTTCCTATTGTACTGTGAACTACATGCAAACTGTGTGACCCAACCAATGCAGTAGAGCACAGTGTGACTATTTCCAGTATCCTGTTACAGCCAGTGAGAGGGGAAAAGCAGATGTGCTGGGTGCCTTGATTCAAAACCCTGGGGAAAGGAGGACAAAGCCTATCGGAAATGCCTCACAGGCACATATTATTCACTGTATTCCTGTAGGAGACATATAAACAGAAAATAGTTATCTTGTTACATAAATAATATGCACGGCTTTATTATATCTCCTGAACTTTTAGACGGCAAGAAGAATTAAATTTGGGACCCTATGGACATTTTTATCAGGATTTACAGACCTTTGATTTAACATATTCCTTTTTGACATGAACATAGTGGCCTCCTTCACCTAGCCCAACTTAAAAAAAATCCATGTAAAAAAATAGCAGATGTTAAAATTACTCAAGGCTTTCTGGACTCCGTGTGGGACCCAAGCCCCTGTGCTGGCAGATGCCATGTGCTTTGTTTCCCAAAATACAGTGACAATGAAAGATTTATCTTCCCTGAACTACCTGTGTCATTCCTAAAGTCTCAGTTTCTCTCTTCTGTTCACACTGTAAAGTCACATCTTCCATTAAATATTTCCAAGTTGCGCCCTAAAAATAACTCCTACCAACTATTATTTTGGGGCTGTCCCCCTTGTAAAAGCAGCCACACCAACACTAACATGTTCCCAATATCTCCATTTTTTTCAGAAAAAAAAAAGTACTGTCACTGTCACTGTCCTCCCACTGTTCATCAATTTGCTCATGCGGGCCCAGTAACATTGTGAGACTTGTTACTGTGTTTGGCATATCGAATATATCACAGGGAGCTTGCCAGGCTTTGCTGTGCAGGCGAGATATACAGAAAAAAACAAACAAACAAAAAACCTTTTTTTGTTTCCCTTTGGATATCTACCTTCTTTAAATCAGCAAACAGAAAGTGACCCCGAATTTCACTAGAAAATACTACCTTCCCCCCTGGATCTGTTATCAGAATTTTTGGGAACTAGTATCACCCAGTTCAGGAAATAGTATATTAAAAAGTAAGACTGTTTTTTAGTTTTTTAAAGCATGATATAAAAAAAAATATATAGTTAGCTATCCATGTCTCCATGGGTTATGGAAGATTATGAAACGAGGAAGGAAGGAAGGAAGGAAGGAAGGAAGGAAGGAAGGAAGGAAGGAAGGAAGGAAGGAAGGGAGGGAGCGAGGAGGGAGGGAGGGAGGGAGGGAGGGAGGGAGGGAGGGAGAGGGAGGGAAGAAGGGAGACCTAGAATAAGAGGAAAGTTGGGGAGGAGTGAAGAAGGTAAAGAAGAGGGAGGATGTATATAAAAGTCTGTGAACTCTTTGAAACTGACAAATTAATCATTGTCCTAAGGGCATGCCCAGGACTCTTCTTATTTGAAAATGTTATTTTACATGTGTAAAGGGTCTAAAGCTGGGCTAGCTTATTCTATCTCCATTTTAAGAGATGAAGTCTCCTTAAGGCACTATTATCATTGTCAGTTAAGTTTTCTCTGATTGATATATGGCCTGATATTCAAAGTCAATGCTTGAAACATTAAATCCTGCTTTCTTCTCCTAGAAGCAGCAATGGCCTAATGAGGGCTCTTGGAAGAAACAGGAAATATGTCTTTGCCCAACACATAGCAGAGGGATCTGGATACTGCCAAAAAGAGGCACATAGGTCCTTACTTTCAGTTAAGTACACAGCAACTGCTGATCCATCATGATAGCTGTCCACCTCTGCCACCAAAATGTTGACTGGGTCTAAAGGTGACTTCTGATAAGGCCACAGTCCCAAGCATATAAAAAGAAAACAAGCTCTCTAGCAATTTTCAAATGAGAAATCTCAGCAGTGAATCCCATTTTTCCCCCCAAATGATTACTAAATAGTTATTATCCATGGCCCACATTTCTGAAACCTGAATTTCTTCTTTGAAATGACTAGTACCATGCCAACCTACCTGCTTGGCTTAGGGTTAATGTCAGCGGGAAACAAAATAATTACCCTCCATTCAGTTGTGTCCTTCCCAGTTCTTGTGTCCTTACATAAAACAATAGTCTCCTAAGATATTTTATTATCATGGGGTAGGAGCTGTCGTTTCCATTAACTTTGCCCTTCGTAACATCTAACAAACAGATACAAGGACAAAATATAATGCTCTGTTTCTCCGAAGCCTAGGTAGTTAATTGTCACCCTTTTTCTGCTTAAAAAGTTTCTAATGGGGCTGAAACAAAGGTACAGCAGATAGGTGCTTGCCTTGCCATGAGGCTGCCACAGGTTCCCTGGCACCCAGCATGGTCTCTGGGGCACCTTCAAAAGTGATCCCAGATTGCAGTGCCAGGTGTGAGTCCTGAAAATTTCCAGGTCTGGCCAGAATACCCACCCTACGCCGAAATTTCTATTTTCAATAAAGCAACTTAAAAAATAAAACGTTAGAGTTAAATCACAAATTTTTAAGTTTTTCCTTGCCAATGTGCTTTTCCCTATGGAGTCTATGGCGATCTCTAGATTTACATTCACACAGACTGAAATAATTATTGATTCCTTCTACTTTGTGTTCCTGGTGAATTCTCAAAAGTTCAAACCAAGCAATTCTAGATGTCTGCAGAGGCCCTGGTTTAATGGTACTGTTTATCATTAACCGGACATCTTGAAGAAGCACATCGCTTCAGATGACTCAAATTCACTTTAGTTAAGTGGTAAAATCCTTTCTATCTTCATTGCAGTTGATTTTTATGTCTGCATTTTAGTTAGAAGTATATATTTAAGTGGGTTCTCCTTGTTTTAAGACCAACTTACGTGTTTGGTGATGATAATAACAGTAATGGGGACCATAAGTTTGGGAAAAAGGGAAGCTGATAGTAAAAGACTATAGACTTTCAATTAGACGATGAACAAGGCCTGAAAATCTAATGTGTAACATGGTGACCATAGTAGTAACATTGGAAAATTGAAATTTGCCAAGGAAGTACAACCTAAAAGTATTCACTAAAAACAAATAAACAAACAAAAATGTGAGGTGATTGATGTGCAGACTCAATGCTCTGTAGAAACTGTCATATAAATTCATATTAAATATAATATATATGTAATCTGCTATGCAGTTTATATATATTACGACTGGATCCAGGGAGAAACTAAAGTGTTTAAGACACAGGTCACATGGTCCTGAGAGCATGCTGAGGAGTAGCCCTGGAGATCTGCTCATACCCCCAAGGTCACCCAGGTGGTCTCTGCCAAGGAGCCTGGGCAGCCTCATAGCATCTTCAGGTACTATCATTGAACCATTTGATCCAGATGGTTAAAAATTGCCAGAAGTTACCCCCACCCAGGACCCCAGAGCACCATTTGGGATGTCCCTACACTCACACAAGACAATTGATTAATTCAAATTCTACTTGTCATTTTTACCTTAAAAAATCTGTAAAACAGCAATAAATTAAAGTAACATAAGTACACAATTTAATCCAAAATGTGTACTTGATGATTTTATTTTTATTTTTATTTATTTTTTGCTTTTTGGGTCACACCCGGCGATGCACAGGGGTTATTCCTGGCTCTGCACTCAGGAATCACCCCTGGCGGTGCTCAGGGGACCATATGGGATACTGGGAATCAAACCTGGGTTGGTCGCGTGCAAGGCAAATGCCCTACCTGCTGTGCTATTGCTCCAGCCCCAGATGATCTTATTTTTAGAGTGAAGATTTTAAGAATGGCTGTATTTCTGTTCAGATAGTTAGTGAATCTTACATTTGATAATAACCACAAAGAGTTGACCACCTTTGCTTTATGTGTCTACATTGTCCTATATAATCCTCATCATGGTTCATCATGGTTTGCTGAACTTCTCTGTATAAATGCATCTCTTACTTCATTAAGTTAGCCAAAAGCAAGTGACCATCTGTCACTGAATTCCTTGTGCTTGCCAAAGCTTAGAAGAAACGTTTTCCTCCTCTGTACAGCTATCTAGCTAGTTATGCATAGACACACAAGCATACATATATACATTTTCACAGTGGTGACTATTGATTGCTATATATTGCACACAAGTCTCACAATGGAGATGTTACTGGGCCCACTTGAGCAAATCGATGAACAACGGGAGGACAGTGCAGTGCTACAGTGCTACATACTGAGTTATTCAGTTTTGGACTCAGAAAGAATCTCATTAGAAATATAAAAAGGAAAATGTTGGTCCAGGATTCTTTATAAAAGGTCAAATAGATCAATATATTTTGTATATTTTTAGCTGCCTTTGTAGCTAATTGGGAAAATCAACTGCTTCTTGGACTGAATTTCACAGAAAGTAAGAGGGAAGTCTTTTGAACATATTGGGGTTTCTGCCTTAAATTGCCTCTTACCTTTCTGCCTCTTTAACTGTTATGGTCTGTGTCTCAGCTGTAGGTAAGTGAAGTTGAAGGCTTTTCAGTGGAGAATCATGTAAGCGATGGTGGTTATTTCTTCCAAGACTTTCAGAACCATTAATATAGTTTTTCAGAACATAAATTTTGCCTTTTTCAATTGTTAATTTGTCTATCTTCATTGACAGAGAGACTCAACTTT